GTTTAAAGTTCATCTCATAAAATATTAACAACTTGTCTGTTGAACTGCATAAAATCAGTGTCACATTTTGTAAACCAGCACTACTAAACATACTACAACATACAACATATTGCTGAACCAAATCATATTGTATTATTTTTGCTTTTATAACTTGATTTGTAGGATAATTGTAACTTTTTATTGGAGAAACCGAGAAAAAAACAACTCCGTCAGTTCTTTTTTCTTAATTTTTGCTTGCCTGTGTTTTTGATTTCTATATAAATACAATTATATAAAGTTATGAGTCCATTTTAAGATTGGGATATGTCTTTGGATGGTTTTGGCTCTTTCTCTCATCACTCAGAGCTCTGCCCTGTCATTAAAGCAAGCTGCTGGACTCACCATCCAACCAGCAGCTTTCACTTGAAAAAGTCTGTCTAATGGTAACAGAAAGAAGCCTTGATCGTGGTTGCTGTTAAAACATTTTTATTTAGTCTTAGTTCAGTTGTTCTGTCTCTCTTTATCAATTATCCCAGAGTAAGGAGGATGTGACTCTCAGTGTTGCTTTAAAAAATCTCTCCAAGGCTTAGTTTAGGGCTTTTGTTTTTTCCGATTACGCATCCAGCAGCATAAATCTCACATTCACATCATGTTTTGTCTGAAAGCTGGAGGTGCTCTGCAGGCCAGCAGATTGGAATGCAAATGCTGGAATTTCTCACAAAGAGCAGCGTTCCGATGGGAATCTCAGTATTCTGAGATCATCTGTTTGCAGTTTTGTTGGAACCAATTTTGAGAAGCGCAAGAAAACATTTACTCTTGTTCTGTTATTAAGACAATATATTTATACAACACATTCTCACTCCCGAGTTGTCAAACACTGATGCTTATTCAGAGCTTCTTCACTTAACTTTGTGATCCCTTTGGCATTATTTTATGACATGCATGGTTTTAAGGCTTTTGGTTTTCACATTATGTGTCCCACCAAACTGGTTGGATGTATTGGTTAAATACAAATCTTTTTATAAACACGATGCAAGCTTTCAGAAATATATTGGAGCAACCGCGCATATCCTAAACCTACCCACTTCTGAACAACATAAGCAAGCTGCAGGTGCCATGTGAATTTATTACAAAAAGTCAACCATACAAAAGCAGTACAATCAAGTCATGTAAAGCTGTATGTCTTTATGTGAAGAAACAAGTAATTGATGATATTTTAAAGCTACTGTGAAGCATTTGACAAGCAAAACTGACATAAGACATTGGTTTCTCTTCTAGTGTTAATATTAGAATTTTTGTAACAACAGCATCTGAGCACCTCGGCGAATAGATAGATGGCAATCGTAGAATCATAATTTATTTTGAACAAAATTATTACTGTAGTTGTATCTGCCTGCTATGTCCTGTCTTTTATATTGACAGAATGTTAGGTTTGGTCCTAGGCTCTGGGTTATGTGCTCATAAATTCATGAAGTTCATAGTGTAATGTAAATAAAATAGTTTTGACTGTTTACTTTAGAAAAATGCACACCCCAATGACGACAAAAATATTACCCAATATGCAGTGGTGTGAAGTAACAAATTACAAATACTCAAACTACTGAGTAGTTTTTCTCAAGAATTGTAATTTACTAAGTAGTTTTAAAAATGTGGACTTTTACTTTCCCTTTATGTACATTTTTAGTGCAGTATTGGTACTTTTATTCCACTACTTTCCTTCAACCTGCAGTCATTATTTTTTCTTGTCTATGGGGTTTAGAATAATCCATCTTGCGATTGCTATAAATAGCATCATAATGAACTACCTAAAGACATGGGCACTTTATAATTGAAAGTGCCCAAAAGTAGATGCCAAAAATCTTTACACCCATTGACCCAAAGAATGTTTAGATGCATGTCGTTGATGAGAGGATAAAAGATGTTTACTCTAATGACTGAAATGGCCTTACACAAGCAGGCACAAGACATCAACATGACGTCCGATTGACGTTGTACCCCAACATCGTAGTGGAGTCAATGGACATTACCACTATGACATCTATCAGGATTTTGGTTGCCATACCTGAAGAATAGATGTCAGTATTTGACTTTAACATGATGTTGGTTTAAAGATGTTAGCTCGACGTTGGATTTTGGTCACTTTCTAACACACCCTAAAATCAACCAAATATTAGACTATTAAACAATTATTGGAAATCAAAATAAAGTCCTTAGACGCTGGCTAGACATTGAATTTTGGCCACCTGATATCACGACCTAAATCTAACCTAATATTAACGTCTAATATTAACTGTGCATGCTGAGCAATGACTAAAAGCACTACAAAAGGTTACGTTTACACATCCACAAATTAGATGTAAATGCATCAGCTTTTTACAGCATAATACTCGCTACTCATTACTCTTGAGTACTCATACTTTGAATGGTACTTTATGATTTTTCTGTACTGCTTCCACCAAGGCCAATATGTCATTTCATTATAACAATGAGTCCTGATTAAGCAACAATATGTGACAAGATTGTAGTGAGAGTGTTTGATTTATCAACTGCAGAATATTTTTGATGCATTGCACTGGAGTCATTGACAAATAATTTGATTTTAAATTTGTCTGGAATTTATAACATTCAAACGAAAAGCTTTCTGTCATCATGCTCCGTGTTTTCAGTCTGTAGTGCATATTTGTGTTGCCTCTCAAGTCCATGTCTGTACATGACAATTTCACAGTTGGGTGTGTGAGGCCCTGGTTTTCCTACCTCAACCCCATGTATACAATGACAGGATGCGTATGTTTGTCAGCATGGTCCTGAGCAGGATGAAGGCCTTTGTGTTTGACTTTTCATTCAACGACACTTTAAAGGGCATCTAGTACAGCAGCAGGAGAGATTCAACCAAACCTAGAACTCCTGATACAATAAACATAATCTTAAAAGTAACATTTCGGAAAAGAAACCATGCCACCTGCAGCTGCTGGAGTATTAATAGTTTTCTAAAGAAGCTAATCTTTAGCTTTGAGTGAAGGACCTTCCTATTGTATGTGCTTTTTTTCGCAACAGGCTGAGGTCATTCGTCACGAGCTTGTAGAAAAATAGGATACACCCACAGTCACTCACGCTGAAGTCAGAGCCAGGCAGCACCACAGTTGAATATGCGAAATCACAAGCAGACAGCTGCACAAAAGGTCAGAGAAGGCCATAAGGACTGGTCAGTAACTGAGGGCTTCTGCAATGTGTGTTTACTGAGTTTTTAAATAAGCGTTGCAAAGAAAATGCCACCAGGAGGGTGTAGCAGATTTATATGTTTGTCTAGTAAAAATGCTCTCAGGCCCCACCACAAAAATATAGTTTTATTTGTACTTACATGTGCACTTGCTCATTTTTTTAACACAATAAAAACTTGGTTGTAAGAGTACAGTGTTTTATCACAATAACACTTTTTATATTTAATAAATATGTCTTATAATATGTGTTCAATAATTAGTATTTGTATCTTTTAAAAAAAATATTGAATTATATTATTAAACTTGATTATAGGTGACTTTGCAACTGCTGGTCAACCAACTCTGACTAGAGTATATTAGGAGAGTAGACTGTTAGTAGAATGTAACACTATACATGCAAATTTACTCCTAGCTTAATGTAATGTCTGTTAAGAAATAAAGTTGTTAGTAGATATTAACCAGTGTAGTAACAATAATAATAAAAATGCAATAAAGGTTTAACAGTGTTTAAAGAGGACAGTCTAAATAAAGTATATTATATTATATTATATTATATTATATTATATTATATTATATTATATTATATTATATTATATTATATTATATTGTATTGTATTATATTATTCTTTTTTTTCGACTTTGTCCCTTTATTACTCAGTGGTCGTCACAGCGAAATTAACCGCCAACTTGTCCAGCATATGTTTTACAGAGCAGATGCCCTTCCAGCTACAACCCATCACTAGGAAACACCCATACACTCTCATTCACATACATACACTACGGACATGTGGGGGAAACCAGAGAACCCAGAGGAAACCCACGCAAACACGGGGAGAACATGCAAACTCTACACATAAATGTCCTAGCCGAGGTTCAAACCAGCGATTTTCTTGCTATGATGCGACAGTTCTACCCACTGTGCCACAGCGCTGCCCTGTATTATATTATATTATATTATATTATATTATATTATATTATATTATATTATATTATATTATATTATATTATATTATATTATATTATATTATGTTTTTTATTTTATATCATAAAGATTTCTTTCTCCCTCATTTAAAATTTTGGACATATGTAATTTATTGAGAACATTTTTAAGTAAATTTTTGCCCATTTTAAAAGTTTTATGTAAGAAAATTAATTTGGTTTATAAATGGTGTTTTTAACATGATAATAAGAAATAAGTCTCATAATCAGCTATATGATATTATACGTTCATAAATTTAAATTATTTTATAATCTTTATGTACATAAGATATTTTTGGAAATATTTTGACACAAGTTGCATGATGTTATTAACTGATTTATAAGATTGGGCCATCCTTGGCTTGTATACATGCAACAAAAAAATGAACTCAACAAATTGACAACTGCACTGTAAACCAATAGCATGGAAATTATAACCCCATAAATTCACAGAAGCCCAGCAAAAATCCTGTGGTCTGAGCCCAGAGTATCATATGTGGAGTAAAAGTAATGGAATGTTTGGACTAGATGTTTAGTTCAGCTTGCTTTCTGTCGCAGCAGATGTGTGCAATGTGTGCAAATCTTCTTTTGGCTGGCGCCATTCTTGTGATCCTAATTAAAATCGCGTGCCAGTGATAAGTTTTTAATGAAGCTCTCCTACATCTCCACTTGTGTTTGTTTGCGTTTCTAAGACTGTGAGGGGGGAGAAGCTGTAGCTTATAATTGAGAGATAGAATTAATTCACAAAACATTGATTAAAAGTCTTTTTTTTTTAAATAAAAAGTCATCAACGCCTGTCTCACTTGTATATCTCTGTTTGTGTAGGATGGCTCTCTGGGTAATATAGATGACCTGGCACAAGAGTACTCGGAGTACTACAACACATACTTCAGTGACGTCAGCGATCGGATGGAGGAACTGCGCAAACGGCAAGTCTCTCAAGAGCTAGACATGGTGAGTTCAGCCTCAGGTTTGTTGCACGTACAGTCTGGGTTAGCGCTGCACGATGTTGGAAAAATCTGATATTGCGATATTTCATTTTTCTGCAATAAATATTGCAAATCAAACTGGTTTAGTACAAATAAAGTATGAAAATATTAAGATTTTCGTTTTTGGATGAACTATTAATTTAAGAAAAGTTTACCTTTACGTGTCTAAAAGTGTGTGTATATATTCAGTTGAAGTCAGAATTATTAACCATTATTATTTACCGAAATCATGGCAAAGATAAAATAAATCAGTCATTAGAAATAAGTTATTAAAACTATTATGTTTAGAAATGGGTTGAAATAGTCTTTATTAAACAGAAATTGGGGTGAAAATTAAATGGGTCTAATAATTCAGGGGGGCTAAAAATTTTTTGTTCCCCTGTGTTTGTGTGTGTGTGTGTGTGTGTGTGTGTGTGTGTGTGTTTATATATATATATATATATATACATAGTATGTATTTATGTTTAATTTATGTATTTATTTATTATTATTATTGTTGCTATTATTTTTTGTTCTTCAATTTTTCAATTCAATTATAGGCGCCACCAAGGAGGTCACATGGTAAAATGACTACAATATTGACCACTAGCATAAACAAAACAAAGTGCTGAATGTATCTTTACCGATCTGTATATACTTAAATATATTCTGCAGAATAATGCTTTTGCTGAACAAGTAGCATGCAGTTTCAGTTCTTAAATTTTAAGCTTTAAACTTTGTCATTTCAGTCAGGATCAAGTTGGATAAACTCTGTAGGCTATGTACAATATTATATGCTTGAGTCTGGCCTTAATAAATAAAAAATTTAATGCTAAAGCTATTAATTCTGCATGGGCTATACTTGTTATTACAGTAACTGTTGTTTTAGTCATAATTCAGTGCATTAGTTTCTGTTTAACCTATATTCCAGGGACAATAAACCACAAGCACAGCTAATCACAAAATTCTCTTGTTTCTTTCATCACTTGGTGCTACAGAATGGCCATTGTAAACCTATGAGCTAATAGAAGGAAACGCTTGTCTTAAACCATTACAGAATGAAGACAAATGTGTTCACCCCATGGCCTTTCTCCATACGTGTTTGGATTGTCTGCGGTTCTGTCAGTGCTCTGCGTTTCTCGAGTGCGTCTGAAAGAATCTGTGTTCTCAGGGATGTAGGGTAGTGGGCCACCCAAGGTTGCTAGGAAACCGTTGGGCCCATTATAACATGCAGCTGGGGTTGGCAAAGTCTGGTGAGGGGATTTTGAGAGAAAGAAAGAAAACATGCTGAAAGTCATGCTCAGCTGTGGTGCTGGCCGCAGACAGGAACCAGTCATTCTCAAGGTTTGGAGAACATTGGGTACGCTATTGTGTAGATTTACAGCAGTAGATTTTTCTTCTTAGTATTCTAAAATGAACAAAGCAGATTTCCAGTAGGCATAGGTCAGTGTAAGATTTTGACAGTATGATAACCATGGAAAAAAGTGTTTACGTTGTGACGGTATTGTGATTACTGCTCTAAAAATTGTTCTATTTTTATTATTTTTTTTATTTATTATTTATTTTTATAACAACTTTTTTCCCCCATTTAACACAATATATTTTATTTTAATAAACGTTTCAAATACTTTAGAACCAGTAAACTTGTCAGGCTAAATAATTAAACTCTTCCGCTGTCATCATTAGTTTCAAAAACACTGAATTCTTTACATCTTTGGAGATCTTTTAGGATATAAAGTGAAGCCACTCCACTGTTCAGCTCTAAAGCATGCTATATGTTGGTTTAATAGCAATTTTCCTAATTTCCAATAATATTTTGGAAATTAGGATATTAGGAGAAATTAGGATATTAGGAGAAAATGCAAGAAATACAAGAATATTTTCTCCATAATCACTATACCAAAGCTGGACACTGGTTAAAAAAAACTTCAATTAGATTTTATATTATTTAGTAATTTGTTACTTAGTTTGTTTATTTCAAATATAAATTCAATTTAATTTTTTAAAAATTTATTATTTGTTTAATTGTCGACGTTAATCATCATGAATGTAAAATAACCCTTTTTTAAATGTGTATATAGTATTTTTTTTCAGGCTTAACAATGTCTTCTCAGCAAAACCAAAGCTAGAAATTAAGTTATCTTAGATATTTTTGCAATTCCAACATTTATTAATTTGCATTTTTTTGTAAAGCAGCAAAGTTTACTAGCGACTAAGTGACTTTAATTTTTTTGAAAATGTCTTATTGAATTTATTCTTGAATACTAAAGTGTGCCCATTTTTGCAACTGTTTTAGAACTTACGATTCAGTCGTCTATGGGAGAAAGGACTTGCAATAATAAACAGCAGAAAACAGTCGAACCGCTCTACAAACAAGTGTTTAAGACTATGTATAAAAAGTAGAATAATATAATATGAAAAGATCAGTTTGCAGGATGAAGCAGCATATTGATCCATTTTAGCATCTAAAAATCAATGGAAGTGAATGAGAGCAGAAGTCTCGAGCCAAAAATATTCCAATGACTGCAATCGCTCATAGAATAAGGTCAAAACTATGTTACCGTCAAATAAAATGGATATTATGCCAACTTGCTACTGTAGGCACTAAGGCCCAATTCATTTTTTGTACCCCTACCCCTTCCCCTTCAAAATTTACCCCTTGGAATTGGGACAGCACCTGCACACGTCACCATATGTCAACGTGATCTCATGCTTCATATGAGATCAGACAATCGCAACTACTGTAGTTATTCCAGTTGTGCTATTTTTTGGTATTTATCTTCAGGAAATCACTGAAGGCATATATCATGTTATCCTGACAATATAATGTGGCAATAAGATCATAACTATACTGTGCATTTACACAGTGGCCATATTCATCAATGTAAACCCTTTAAAAACAACATCAACGTTATAGCAGACACTGTAAAAAGCCCATTGTTATCCACTATTTGTCACACAAAATTTATCGGTTTTTATTTTAGCTTTTTTTTTTTTTTAAAGCAAGACTGTAAAACATGAACACGGTTTTAAATATTAAAACGTGTAAAAATTTGGAATAATGACAAAAAATACTAATTTGTAGATCTCCTTACTTCTAGGTGCAGTGATTCTGCTTTTGTGGCTGGTGTTTTCTGTTTTCTTACACCTTGGTTTCGAGTATGGTCCTGAAAAATCTGCATTCGAAGGAGTATTCACCCCTTATCCTTAGCCCTACGCTTTCAAGCTAAAGAAAATTGGGACACCTCTACCCCTTGACAAGAACGCGCAAAACGAGGGGTAGGGGTAAGGGGAAGGGCTAAGGGGTAGAACTAGGATTTTGCCTTAAAACATTTGCAATCCTTGCTCCACCTATGAGTTCTTCTGATTGGCCCACTGCATTGAGACTGACATTGATGAGCAGCAGTGGATGTTTAAAGGTTTTTTTTTTTTTTTTTTTTTTTACTTGACACACCGTCTAAAGAATTTGGCACTCATTTGTAAGGCACTTCAATGATGCGAGATGCGAATGCAGCGGTCACACACATCTGTCAAGCATGTTCACCTTGAAAAATAATTAAACGGTTAGTTATTCATTTAATTGAAAAAAATGTGTTCTGTGTGAATGGTTAAAGGCTGTTGTTGTTCATTCCATACTAAAATCACATGATCCAGGCAGCGTTACAAGTCAACATGATTCAAAGAGCATCATGACATAGCATTTAAGTCAACTTGTTGATTAGTCTGTGTAACCCTATACTGTGTAGAAGTTCAAATATCATTGCTGTTTGTATTCCAATGAAAAAAAAAAACAGCAGCATATGCTTTTTGAGCAATTATTATTTTTAATATTGCATGAATAACAAAACGTTCCTCTACATATTCTGTTTATTCATCTTCTCTTCCTATCCAGAATCCAGCTCCACACCCTGCACTGTTCAAACCATACACTAAAGTTAAATCTGGTTAATACAGGGTTGAGCGCTGAACCAAACCCACCTAAATCAGCACTGCGTGACACAGCTGTGTTTATTTAGTAATCGGGATTCATTCCTCTGAGATACTAGTGTTCTTTCCACATGCTCTTTAATGAATATCGAGCGCTTCATCTGTTATTAAATTACTTCTATTTAAGTTTATCTTTATACACCATATCTCTACCCTTTTAATTAGCACAAGATAGCCGCCAACAAAGAGATTAAGCTCATGCAGGCGTCTGATCTCATTACCAGTCGAGTTCAAAAATAGTTCTCCACATTGATGATGTATCAAAGGACGTAGCGATAAATCCCGAGCTGAGGGTGTCGTCTGTCAACAGAGGCTTTAGTCTAAGGCTAATGGGGCTGGAGGAAGTGTCAAGTGGGCCAAGTAGGTCATCTCTTTATGCATTTAGTGTTGCTGGTCATGTGCCATTTTCTGGGAGTATCATGAAAAGGAAATGAGGACACTGGAGTAGCTGCTGGCGGTGGTGAAAATTCAGTTAATTAGAAATTGGATGATATGGATGATGTTGGGAATTTTTCTAGAAGGTGTTTTGCATTTCATGTGCAAGTGCAAGAACAACACACTTGTTTTGGGGCTCTGCAGGTCTACACAAGTTGAACTGGTTGGTTTGGTAACGCAAGTGATTTTGACGACTCATTTATCCTCCTCAATCTTGTTTTTATTTAAGCAACTTTTGCTATGACACCATGTTTGGGATATTTTCAGTGAGAAAACATGAAAGTGGAAATGGGATACTCATTGTGTTCGAACAGAGTGGCTGCTGTCCAGTCTGAGGGTAGTAACAGGTGATTGTGCTCTTCTAGATTAGTATTTTAAAGGCCAGGTTTCTGGCTTGATAATTTCAGCATTGCCTCTCTTGAGAGTTTTGACGTGTGTGTGACCTTTTTGAAATTTTTGGCAGCTTGAAAAAGTCCAAATGCTATACTGGCTGTAGTCTTTTCTTTCTGGTGCTTTTTTTTCATCCTCACATCCTCGCGCTAATTTCCATAAACACTGTCACCC